AGAGAATTTTATAATTTGATCTTCAGATTTTGGTGGTATCAGAGTGTGATATGATAAGTTCCGAGCCTTGTGCACTTGTGGGACCCGTCTCATGAGTGTACGGCGTCTGTCGCGCCCCGAATTTGGGTTCTGGGGCGTGACAGGTTAAGTGCTCGGTTTCAACTTCTCTCAATATTTTCTTAGCAAGAACTACGTACATGATTGCTTTTAAGTTTTAGATGTACAGAGTTTTTGGTAGTGTGTGCACTATGCATGATTCTTTCTTCTTCTTTTTTTTTTCCAATTTGAGCCAATAGCAATTTAATGTATTGAAAAAATAATTATTGGGGTAAACTTCCACATTAATACTAAATAGCCATGTTGATATTGAGGCAAGTAAAATATTTATAGCATTCCTACACAAAATAATTTATAAACTTAAATAGATTTGCATAATTGCTACAATAAGATATAAGATTAATGTCTATCAAAGACCTACTTAATTGGTTGCGAGAAGAATTGTTTTATTATGTAACGTACTAGCATTATCTATATAGAAACAGCAGCATAGGTATTAACTTCTAAATATAAATTATAATTTCAATATGTTGTATGATATGAGTTTAATTTTATATACAATTATATATTTTTTAAATTAATTTTCATGGGTTTTTTATAACTTAATCATGGCTAAATTTACATCGATTTCATTGTTTTATAGAGGAAGATTAAAGAACAAACTTATTAGAATTAATTCTTCAATTAGTGGCAACCTGAACACATAGTGCTATTTTGGCCATAAATTTCTCTTTAGAAATCATATTGAGGTGATTCTTAAGGCATTAAAAAGTTAGAGATATAAGGAACTTTACAAGAAGGAGAAATATTAACTTAACTTGAGAAAGCCAATTAATTTATTAAGGGAAATCAACCATCTCATGCAATAACACATAACAAATCTTAAACTTAATTTGGTTTTGAATTAGATTAATTAATCACTTGCACAATTCAAATTAAATGAAATCTAAACACTTATTCCTTTTTATTCATAGTTTCCATTTAATTAGAAACTTATTTAGATTAAGTAGTTTAATTTTATTCAATTAATTGGTTAATTCAACTTAGGCTACATTAACATGTGGTAGTGTAGAGTATTTTTTGAAAGAACAATATCTTACTCATTTTCTACTGCATAATTGATTAAATTCTCTTATTTAAAAGTAATGCATATTTTATACATTATTGCATATTAATTTTTTTGTTGATGCTCCTATTGGAAATTGGACATGATTTTTTTTACCATAGTTGGGTGAGTTCCTTTCTATTGTATTTATCACTATTTTTTCCAGCATGCATGTTTTTAATGCACTTTTACTCTGTGTTCTGCCTATTAAGCATTTAAATTTCTTGCTTTGAAATTACTACGAGGTTTTCCAACTCTTTTAATTCCCTTTTTTTTTTTTGTAGAAATTGATGGGCAATATATTTCTGTAAAGTCTGCTGGAAAATTTTCTTGGTTCTTGCCATGACTCTATGTTGGTAGCTATATACCAATATGTCAAAATATACATTCAATGAGAATATATTTGATTTTTGCTTTCTCTATTGTTATGCTTTGACATGAATGAACCATGCTAAAATGGATAATAATGGTGCTTGAGTTACTTTTCTACATTTCAAACTCTGTTTCTTTGGGGAAGGACTTAGAGGTTTTGATTTAACTTTAAATTGTTACTTCTAAAATTTTGAATTTATTATTCTTGGAATCACTATTTTAAAACTCAAATCGAACCGGTCAATCCAATTAGTTGAACTGGAATCGGTTATAAAATTGATTTGAGTCATGACATAAACTTGGTTTGTAATAAGACCTGGTTAAAATGAGTCAAATTTGATCAAAACTCAAAAAAACCAATCAAACTCATTGGCTTTTGAACCGATGAACCATCTAGTTCACAAAATTTAAAAACTTTTCAACAACTTTGTGCAAGGGGATTCAAACCCCATTCCCTCAACACACATTTTGGAGTTTTCACCATTGGACCACCAACACCACTATTGTTATTCTTACACAAAATTTTATTTAAGAGTGCATTTATGTAATTTTTAACAAATAATTATTTTCTAAGTCAATATCATGTTAATGATTTTAATTGTATATTTAATAAATAAAATTTTCTAATATGTGCTCTTAGGATATAGGTAAAATTTTATTAAATATAATATCTTTAATTAATTTTATATCAAATTTAATTAAAATAAAATAAAAAATGTAAAATTGAAATATAATATAACATTTCTAATCGAAATTTACAAAAATATAAGAATTTGATATAAAAATTTGTGCAAAATTAATTAAAAAATTTACATTTAATGAAATTTAACCTATACTCTTATGTGACATGTTAAACAAATTCTTAATAAATTAAAATTAATCTTTATTTTTTTATAAAAATTAATTATTGAAAGGCACATTAAATGTAAAAGAACATGTTAGAAAAATATTTTCATAAAATAAAATTTATAAATTAGTTAATTTTAAAACTAAGATAACAAAATTAAAGTAAATACCTTTAAACTTAAATTGTGAATCATATTACTAAATTAAATTAAGTTTTTATTCTAAGATTTTAAATTGTTTATTGAATAAAATCATAAATAATAATCATAATGATTTGATAAGATTCAAAATTTTAAGTGTTTAAATATTAAATGAAATTTGATTTAATGATATTGTTATTTCCTTTTCCTTTTATTTTTTTATAGAAATTGTTTGATGTTAAAAGATTTAAAAAAAAATTTATTTAATTTTTATAAAATTACTAATTATTACATTCAATTTTTAATTATGAATAAATTAAAAAAATTGAAAGGTTAGCAATAAAGATTATAGGGTTTAGTGATTTAATATTTACATAATTACTATATGTTTTAACATTACTTCTTTCTTTTTAAAAATTTAAAAATGTCATTTTTTGTAGGTTAAATGTAAATTTTGGTCCCTCAACTTTAAGGTTTTGCACAATTTTCATCCCTTAACTTTTTTGCACTTTTTTGGTCCCTTAACTGTGAAAAATGCACTTTTTTAGTCCTTCCGTCAATTAATCCATTAAGTTTATCTGAATATGCAAATTTTTAATCCCTCAACTTCTAATATATGCACATTTTGGGCCTTCAACTTAAAGTTAAGAGACTAAAGATGTGCAGATTTAGATAAACTTAATGGGATCACTAATGGAAGACTTAAAAAGTGCATTTTTTATACTTAAGGGACCAAAAAAGTGCCAAAAAAAGTTGAGGGATGAAAATTGTGCAAAATCTTAAGTTAAGGGACCAAAATTAGCATTTAACCTTTTTTGTATGACCGATTGAACCAATCGATTGAATCAGACCCAATGCCCAAAACGGGTCAAGCACCAGGTCAGTTCTTAAAACATTGCTTAGAATCTCCTTTTTAATAATTATGTGCTCAAAGACATTTAGGCACTAAAAATGAAAATGTGGTTATAATAACATGTAAGGACAATTGATAAGGGCATTCAAAGCTAATGTCTATAGATCATTTTAAAATTTTGAAATCAATGGTTTAGATCTCAAAGAGTGAGAAGCATCATTACAAGAATTCACAATTTCATCGACGAGAAATCATGTTGGTAAGAAAAGGAATCAGGTCGGTGAAACAGCTCTCCAACTTGGATCATGTCGATAATAGCTTTGTCGGTGAAACCGGGCTCGGTAATTTATTCACCAACGTAGATGAAAATCACGTCGATAAACTCCCTCCTCATTACTGACAAGAAACATCTTGCAAGAATAAACCGGAACAGTAACACCAAAAAATATCTCTGGTTTCCATGTCGATAAATTACCGACAAGGATAATGTCTGCAGATAGAGAAGGTACCTCGAGCTCTGAGCTACTCACCGACGAATATCACGTCTGCCAATATAGGAAAATGCTTCGCAATTTGAGCCATGTCAGTGATTCACCGAGAAAGATCACGTCTGAAAGTATACAAAGTTCTCTGCCTGCCAGGGATTGAGCAAGGAAATCATCTCCGAAATTTAAAAGTTACCAGCAAGATTTGAGTCGGCAATTTTAGGCACCATTTTTTTTCCTCCTAGTTTTCGACGAGAATAACGTTGGTAAATAAATCTGGAAAAATAAAAAAAAAATCTTGAATTCAATTCATATTGAGATTAATATATATTTATTGTTTAATTAAATTAATTTACAATTAAACATTAAGTAATTCGTAATATTTAATATCATAAAAAATAAATATAATATGAAAATTTTACAATGTAATCAGAAAATTGTTGTATTTATTTATTTAAATTAAAGATTAGAACATAACTTAAAAAAGAAGAATAAAATGACAAAGTTAAAATACAACTAGATAACCTAAAAAATTAATTAAAGATTACCTCAATAGATGAAGATTTGCAGAACACCATTTCCTAAGAAAATAAAAAAATATAAATTAGGTTAGCATTTATCTATAATTAATTTCAACCCTAATAGCTCTAATCAACATATAAATAAAATTGAATGTTAATTTGCACAAAGAAAATTTACTTACCCCAATGATTATCTCCTAATGTTTCTTGGAAAACAAAATTAAAAATGCAAATAAATTGATTAATAACACAAATTAGTATTTAATAAAATAGGAAGAAACAATGAAAGAGAAAAAGATAGGAGATTGAAAAGATACAAACCTAAAATTATATCAATAATGTAATTATAAACATAAACAATTAATCCAACAGCATTGAATGGAAGAAAAAGAGGAGGCAAGCCGGAGGAGAAGAAAAAAGAAGAAGAAGAATAAGAAGGAAGACAAGAAAAAATAAGCTGGGTAGAGTGGTGGGCTGAGAATATATATAAGCCAATTTACTCATGTGTATTTAGTCGATATTAATTTTACCGACAACAATCACATGGGTAAGTTACCGAGAGCGGGAATCCAAAAACCAAAAAAAATTTGCAATCCATTCCCAAATTACCAACTAGCTTCATGTTGGTATCACGTTGGCAACTTTACCGACTAGAATCACATTGGCAACTTTAATTTGCCGACAAGATGCAAGTGGGAACTTCATTTACCAACTAGAATTACGTTACTAGCATGGCCGGTAAAAATTCCCCAGCTTCCTCTCTAGATTTTGTCCATTTTCCCTAAATTCCTTTCCAGATTTCATTTTCATGCTATTTTTTGAATTTATCCAACAGATTTCTTACATTTTAGTGGACATAAATTTTAAAAAAAATTGACAAAATTCCCCTGTTTATATGATAAAAGATATTTCTTTTTTAAATTTGCATTTGCAATTCTACAACTTTGTTATAAAAAATGCAATAATTTGAAATTTATTCAATAGATTTTTTGCAATTTGGTCATTTTAGTTGGCATAAATTCTAAAAAAATTTTGACAGAGCTTGCCCATACACCAATTTTTTTTACCTGTATTTGCAATGAAAAACACATATGTTCTACAAGTCTAGCATGCTAAAAACAATTATACCTTTTCAACCATAACCATAACCACGACCACAACCACAAAGTATGGCATTCATACACTATTGTCTTAAATACCTACGATATTTAGTTAATAATAATTAACCTCCAAAGCAGTCCAAAACTTCATACCTTTTGAAGTATGATTACTGGAGGTCAAGCAAAATAAGAAAAGATATCATAATGAAAAGCTAAAGCTAACAGTTTAAAGTACTAACAAAAATAAAGCCAACCATGCAAAGTGTGCAGATAATGTACATAGCAGAAAAATAAAAAAACTAAGGACCCTAATAGTTTGGATAAAAAACAAGATAGTATGCATCATCATCTTGAGGCAGAAACTGTTGCTGCTGTTGTTGATATTCAGGAACCATAGGAAAGGTTTGTGTAGAATCAGAGTAGGTGAAAGCTACCTAAGCTAGGACCATGTGATGGCTGTGGTGGGGCAATTGGATGATGACCTGCCTGAGGGGAGATGCCATGAGCGGCTAGAGTTGCTGCTACAAACTGTGCAATTGTCTGGATCATATTATTCTGAGCTTGTGTCATATTGGCCAACCAGCTGCTGTTGCATTAGAGCAATTTGTTGGCGTTGTCTTTCTAACTCCTCATTTTGTTTTGCCTGTGCCTTCTCATAGTCAGACACCATCATTGCTGCTATTAAGTTTTCTCAAGGTTGTCTCTTCCTGTAAATAAAACCAACCATCTCTGGATTTACTTGGGAGCCAATCCCTGGCATGAAATTAGATGAGCAACCTCCAACAGGCTTAACTCATGTCTCGTTATCCATGCGTGGCCACGAACTAGCATCAAAGCCATAACTCTCTGTGCACTCCACAACATAAGTATCCTGAAAAAATAATAGTAATAGTAATAATGTTGTCAAAAGCAGTTTGAAAAGAATATATAAAAAAAAGTAGACGTTGGTAAATAATTTAGATTAATTACATAAATTTTTTTGACACTTATAACTATACATTTTATGCTAATTTATATGTTATATATACTTACATATCGATGCTTTGCTTTTTCATTGATCCATGCCAGCTCTTGATCTTTTCCCGCCTTTCTAGAGGTGTGTGTCTCCTTGAATTTCTCCTAATGAGGAGGTTGCACATCACCTCTAGATTTAGTCTGTATTTCAAAATATTGATAATGCAATATATTGGTTAGTATAAATTGACACAATTTATTGTTAAATAAAATTTAATATATTAATTTTTTTATTAATTAAACTTGATTACTATCCGCATCTCATGGATGCCAAAGCTAATGGACCCAATGGTGTGAGTCACCCTTTCCCCAGAACTCCTATTCTTTGCTTCCCTTGCATTGAGCCTCTTATATTCATTAGAGTCCCAATATGTCAGCAGCTGAGGCCATATATGAGTTGGGATCCAACATGGGACATAGGTTGAGTTCTTGTCCCATTTCAACTTCTCATCCCTGAGATTGTCACTCCATCTATGTTTCATACAATTTAGGAATGCATCTCACACATTGCGATTATCTACAGGATCTCACTGGTAAAGTGTCTGCAAAATAAGAAATGAATAACATTAGATGTTTGAAAAATGTAAATTCTAGTTTAGTAATGAAATTATTTATTTTTATTAGAAATTGCTAAATCCATTCATTTTATTAAATTTGCTAAAACATAATCTTATCTTGAAACAATTATAAATTTCAATAATCTTGCTTTTGGGGACACACTTGTATGTGAAATACAAGCCATCAAAACGTGACTTCCATAGTGAAGTGATAGCCCGAGGGATGTTTGGATAAAAAAACTGGAGCTTATCATTAGTAAGTTTAACCCATTTCCTGCTGCTGTATATCCGGAGCTACGCCACTATCAATAAACAGTTGCGAGTGATTAAGACTATGTTGCCCTTGTGATCCTGAGGAGGAAGATCTCCTCCTTGCTAAACCTGCAGGATTTCCAAACATCTTGAAAAATGAATAACAAAATAGTTATTAATACGTTTATATAAATAACGAGTAACAAATTTTGAACAATCATACAATGATTCTATTTTAAATGAAAAATATATAACTTGATAAACATTATATATAAGACAAAGAAATTTTAATACATATATTTAATAAGTAATAATATAAATGTTTCAATTAATCATAATCATCACTATCATCCTCAACATTATCACTATTTCTCGAGGATTCTGAATCTTTTTCTTCTCCATAGTCCTCCTCTTCTTCAGATGTATTAGCATCAACCTCAACTTCTGTAACACCTTTTGCACATAGTTGAAGTGATTGGTATGCAATTAAATCTATAGCTAATGAAGAGCCTTGCATTATGGAGGGGTCATCATCTTGAAAAATGTCATCAACCTCTCTTGAAGATGAGTTAGATGAGGTCTCAATTAGATGTCTAAATTTGATTTTGCATGCTACCAACCATCCCCGGGTAGTTCTATCCGTGGCTGCCGGATAAGGAGTATAATAAACTTGTTGTGCTTGACTAGTAAAGCAAAATGGCTCCCCCGTTGAAAGTTTAAACCTTGGATTGACATCAACAATTCCGTGTTCAGCATTGACACGTATTCCTCAGTCCGTGTTATACCAATCACAATTAAACAATATTACAATCTCTTGATGGCATGAGTGTCCATAATACAATAACTCGAACACCTCTTTTAAGACGCCATAATAATCAGTTTCATCTGCAGAATTAATGGTGGTTCCTTTAATATAAACACCATAGTTTTGTCTTTCTATTACTAGTAAACTCTTTAGTCAAAAATCTAAAGACGTTCACATAGAACCCATTATAACCATTCACTTCAAAGATCAGGCCAACTGCAAGGTGGATAAGTTATTCATTGATTTTATATTGTCCACTAAACACCTATATTTGAAAAAAAATTTAATTGAGTAATATTTAATATTTAATTAAAAATTTGAGAAAATAATATATAACAATTTATTACCATATTTTTAAACAATTGAACAAAATTATTTGTTCACAATCTTTGTAATTGTTCATGTGGCAAATTTGCACCAACTTCTTCCTCAAATTTACTGTAAAATAATAGTTATTTATTAATTAAAATGTTATGCAAATCATATAGGCTATTAAACATGGTGCAGTTCTTATTTTTCTAAGAAGTAAAACTTACGTTACCCATAGCAAGACAGATAGCTCAGCTGCATCTTTTTCCTCCAATGTTAAACATCATGTACGTGAGTGGCCACCTATTAATTCACCAAGGGAAGAAAATACGGATAACTTACCTGGGACATTGGTTCCAATGCCACCATACTTCCTTGGAGGCTAAATCCAACTTGTCTCAACATCATCCCCAAACAATGAGAGCAGACAAAGGATATCTCGTGTAATATAACTGCCTCGACAATTGATGCCTCGACATGATTTTTATTCCCTATGGTACTCTTAAGTTTGCACATGCGCCTGAAAAGAAATACTGATAAGATTAATTTAAAAAAAGTAATCAAAAGTAAGTTTTAAAATTATCAATTTCTTTATATGTTTTACCTTTCAAATGGATACATCCAACGGAATTGAACAAGACCACCAACTCTGGCCTCATATGGAAGATGAATTGCTAGATGTTCCATAGAATCAAAGAATGCTGGGGGGGAGGGGGGGAATATTATTTCTACTTACAAATTATTTCAACAACTTTTGCCTCCCACTTCTGCATCTCAGTAACTTTAATGACCGGGGAACAAAGTGAACGAAAAAAGTTACTAATGTCGGTCAAAGGACCCTAAATAGAAAATGGCAATAGACTATGAAAAGCAACTGGAATTAGTCGTTGCATGAAAATATGACAATTATCACTTTTCATCCCGAATAACCTAGATTCATTCAAGTTGACACATCTTGATATGTTGGAAGCAAACCCATCTGGAAAGCGCAACTATTTTAGCCATGCACATAAAAGCTTTTGTTTTTCAAATGTCAGTGCATAACTGAAATTAGGTTTCACAAGCTTACCATGCGTATTATATCTTATGTGTAGTTTTCTTCAGTCACAATAAATGGCTAAATCCAATCTTGCTTTCCCATTGTCTTTTGTTTTATTGTCATTCATAACAATGTGTATTATATTATCAAAAAAAAATTTCTCACAGTGCATTACATCAAGATTATGTCAAATAAGATTATCATGCCAATAAGGAAGTTCCCAAAAAATGCACCTTTTCGCCCAATTATGGATGTTCCCAAAACCCTCAATTGTTTGGTTTTCAAAAGGTTTCCCAAACAACACATCAGGAAGGTTTTCAACTCGGTGACGCATTGAAACACCATCCAATCGAGGAGGGGGACTACCTAATTCAACCCGACCCTTCAAGAAATTACTCTGATCAAATCTAAAAGAATGTGATTCCGATAAAAATTGACGATGACAATAAAAAAAACATGGTTTTCAACCATTTTGAATATAAAAAGATTGTGTCATCTCCATACAGTAAGGACATGACAATTGGCCATGAGTGCTCCAACCAACCACCATACTATAACCTAGAAAATCAGTTATGGTCCACATCAACATAGCTCACATTATGAAGTTTTGCTTACGATAACTATCATATGTTTCTACACCATTCGACCATAACATTTTCAAGTCTTCAATTAAAGGTCGAAGGAAAACATCGATATTTTTACTTGGACTTTTTAGACCTGCAATGACCAATGTAAGAAAAGTAAACTCTAGTCACATGCACATCTCTGGTGGCAAATTATAAACAATCAAAAAAACTAGCCAACAAGAGTAGGAGGTTGAAGAATGAGCCCATTGGTTGAAACCATCAGTAGCAAAACCTAATCGAACATTGTGAGGTTCTCTTTTAAAAGAAGGATGTATTTGATCAAAATATCTCCATGCTTCTAATTGTGCTGGATGAATGATCAAAATGCCATGTCATGTGCTCAACTATTTTTCGAGACATGTATAGCCTCTAAAAGCGAGGTATTATTGGCAAGTACCAAAGAGAATTCCTCAGAATGTCCTTTTGTCTGTTCTTCCCTGGATTTCTCTGTTTATACCTCGCTTCTCCATAAATTGGACATGTAGTCAATTTTTCGTATGCTCCACATAGTATAAAAAGTAGTTGTTAACACAAGCATCAATTTTTAGATAACCTAACCCAAGCCCTTTCATATATTTTTTTTACTTCATAAAAGTTTGTAGGAATTTTTTCCTGATCTTCAACACTTAACAACCTCCTACATCCTTTGAGAATGACACTAAATCCATTAGCAATTATATTATTTGCAGCCTTTGTATGCAACATATAAAAGAGTTAGCTAAGTATTGTCTCATTTCTTTCAGAACTACCAAGTGGAATTGTAGATGCGTGAAGCAAGTCATAAAATGCCTTTGCTTGATTGTTTGGTTCCTCGTCTAGATGTTGATTGGGGGAATTACCTTCCCTTCCCCGATTATCATCATCCTTTGGACAAAATGCATCATACACCATTTCACGAAGTCATTCCTTTCATCATGGTGTGTATCTTGGCTGTGTGATGAGTCTTCTAGATTAGTAGCAAACCATGGATCTGCTAAATTCTCAAATGTCTCACCATGTGCCCACTAAACAGAATAAGCATTCATAAAACCATACTTAGTAAGATGGTCCCATATCAATTCCTAAGTCATCAACAGTAAATTAAAGCATTTAGTATAAGGACATCTAATTAAACCATTCGGTTGAAGACCAAGGTTATTGTATGCAAATTGAAGGAAATATTCAACTCCATTATAGAACTCATTATATATCTCTTCTCGTGGAGTTCAACGCCTATACATTTAATTACGATCCTCCATAATTTTATTAAATCAATAAAATAAAAATAATAACATGATTAGTTTCAAAATAATTATGATATCTTTCACACATTTTATAGTTGGTTAAAATCTTAATTTATGATATATACATATATATATAAATATGTTAAATTTAATTATCAACAAAATTTATCATACATAAATGATTTATTTTTTTATTTAATAAAAAAATAATATTTAACCATACAATTATAAAAATATAGTAAAAATAAAACTTACTGTGTAATTAATAAGGATCCACAAGAGCTCAAGTATTAACTTACAAAATAATTATTAAAATATTAATTTATATATATTTTCAATTAAAAACTTCTTTATATATACAATTAAATTAAAAAAACTACATTTAAAATTAACATAATACAACTTAAAATAGATACAACAACAAAATAAGACCAATTATTAAATTGCTAAAAAGTTAGGTTGAAATACAAAATTTAGTCCCTAATATTTTAGATTTATATCAAAATTATCCTAAACTTTAAAAACACCAAAACTATCTTTAAACTTTAATATTTAATACCAAAATAGTACTTATTTCAACGTGTTACTTGATATTCATTATTTTGTCATAAAATCAATTTCTTTTTCAAAAATTAATAAAATAAAATCAAATAATTATATTTTACTATGATGATATATTTTTTTAATTGTATTTATAAAGTTGAATAAATAAATTGGTACTTATAATCAAAGTTTTAAGGTCTAATTCTTCAAATTTTAAGGACTAAATTGGTACTAAATAAAAGTTTAGGGATTATTTTGGTTTCAAAAATTAAAGTTTAAGGACATTTTTAGTACTCTTAAAGTTTTAGCATAATTTTGACCTAAATCAGAAAGTTGAGGGACTAACATGGTTATTTAACCAAAAATTTTAGGTCCTTCAACTTTAAAGTTTACATACTTTTCATCCCTCAACTTTTTAAATATTTTTTTAATCTTCAACTATGAAAAATACAATGTTTTATAGTTAATTAAGAGAAAAGAAATGCAGAAAACAGTAAGACATGAAAATTTGTGTAAAACCTTCAAAACGCATAAAAATTATAAATATTCACCCTAAAATATACTCAAAACAACAAATCTAAAAATGCTAACTAATATCAAATACTTAATATAAAAATTTTGTCATTAATAGTTGAAATTTCACTAAAAATTTATTAAAACATTATTCATAACTATTCATCAAATTTATTTAAAAGACAATCTAATAATATTAACTAATATCTAATGAACTAATTAATAACAATATTTGATGGTCTAAATTTTAGAAAAAAAAATAAAACATATATAAAATATATAAAAAATAATAATATTACTTAAATTTCACTTACCACTGCTTGATCCACTACACTGTAAGAAGAAAAATGTTAAAGTGA